CCCGAGAGTTTGGGGGGGGGGGGTACTGTGACGTAACAGACCGTCTCACCAGTAGGCTATTATTCCTACTATTAGCAAAGGCACATAAATTAACACAAACGGTTATTTTTACAGATCATATCATTCCTTATTTGCATCACAATGACAAACGCTTTACCTGGATGGCCTTCCACCACGTTCCCGTTCTTCCTCTCTTTAACAACCAAGTGAAAAAAAATTCATCAGTGTTCAATCGAAGATTGCTATTACTACTCATAAAGAAAGCAATTGTTTGATTGGAATTGCGACTCTGAAAAACTATTTTCGGTAAAGGTGTAACTGTGTCATATATATATACTGACAGCGACAAGCCGAACTGACGTTGGAGAGTTCGTGGTGTTTTTTCACTGGTTAACGCCAGTCGGAAACTATTCAGGTGGTTAACAAAGAATTGCCGAAAAAAGGAAATTGTTCCCCAAACTGGGCCATTTGTATAGCTTATCTCCTAATACATAAAATACATTAATAAGAAACTGNTCACGGGTTCGAATCCCGTTGAAGCCCTGATTTTTTCAGGCTTCTTCTTCCAATTGCTTAAATTGGAAAATTAACTGCGATGATCATTCTTCACTTTCTTTTACCTGTCTCTATCACGGTCTCGATCACGATCTCTGTCAATATCCCTTAAAAACAAGAAAGAAAAAAGAACTTGCTGTTGGTCTTCAACACAACAAAGATCTTCATAAAAATTAAACAATGTGTGTACGGGTTCTTCCCTTCTTTTGTTGGCGAATACACACAACATAAGGCAGTATAAGGTGTCTCTAGCCTGAACAACTAGAAGCGTTGTTACAGTCCCTAATGGAATGCTAATCCACGACAAGCATCTCTCTCCCCCCCCCCCCCGCCCTCCCCACACCACCAATTTGTCAGTATAGGTCACCCGAGAGTTTGGGGGGGGGGGGTACTGTGACGTAACAGACCGTCTCACCAGTAGGCTATTATTCCTACTATTAGCAAAGGCACATAAATTAACACAAACGGTTATTTTTACAGATCATATCATTCCTTATTTGCATCACAATGACAAACGCTTTACCTGGATGGCCTTCCACCACGTTCCCGTTCTTCCTCTCTTTAACGAACAAGTGAAAAAAAAATTCATCAACGTTCAATAAACGATTGCTATTATTACTCATAAAGTAAGAAATTTTTTGGTTGGAATTGCGCCCCTGAAACACTGTCTGAGCTGGCGGTAACTGAGTCACATATATACTGACAGCGACAAGCCGAGCCGATGTCGAAAGTCTCGGAAAGTTCGTGGTGTTTTCTCATTGGTTAATACCAGTCGGAAACTATTCGGGTGGTTAACAACGAATCGCCGAAAAAATGAAATTGTTCCCCCAAACTGGGCCATTTTTATAGCTAATCTCCAAATACATAAAATACATTAATAAGAAACTGGTCTTACCGCATCTTTTCTTCATCTACAACGCCAACAGAGGGAAGAAATGAAAGCGCTTTTCCTTCAATCTTTGCTTTAGAAGTTTGCTCCAGTAACCCTGAAAGGTAATCAATGATACCGCCATGACGCACCGCCAAATTCTCACAACTAAGTTCAAAGAAATGTATGGTTAACAGTTTGGAGAATTAATAATTCAAGCTTAGCGCAGGAAGGATTAAAACATGACGAGTTTATTACCTTTCTTTGACGCAAGAAACAGAGCAGCACCAACTCCTTTTCCAACCAAAGGTTCGGCATCGAGAATGTTATTTTCCGTCTCCTTTAAAACATGTAAAACAAAATAAGGAACCATCTAATACACAAAATAGAAAATCGTTAACTGTTGTATTGTAGCCGCCAGCAACAAAGTGCCGATACCTATTAATCTACCTGGGTGGAGAGAGGCACTGTGAGAGTTAAGGTGGTATGGTACCCTCAGATGGACCAAAAAGTTTGTTTAAATATGATGAAGAAAGATCAATTGTGTGCTATTGCACTCAAGAAGAGAAATTAAATTTCTAGAGTTTTACTCAAAATGGTTGCTATGGAAACCAGCCACAGCCTTT